AGTATACGACTACGAGTGTATCTTCCTTTTGAATTTGTATTTAATGTTAAAATGTGTTTATACTACTAGGTGGCATTTTATCTATTTATTGCTTTAGTGATTTTTATCTAAGTGTGTGGCTTTTATTGTTGTAGTATGTTTTTTTTTTGCACAAAAGAACTGGTCTATATAAAACTAAACCAAAATACCAAAAAAAAAAAAAAAAATGTGTATAAAAAAGATTTTCAACATTTTTTTTATGACATCAAGTGTATACAAATGTTAAATTTCCCTTTGGTAGGCTTAGAGTGAGTGTTGCAGTCAGTATAGTAGGCTTATCTATAGACAGGGATTTCGTCAGAATTTTCTTTTTTTTGCAGTTGTTGTCGTTTTACTTCCAGCTAACAAATACTTAAACATTTTATTATATGAAAACTAAAATTTTTTTCATACAAGAGAGGTATTAGTCATGCAACACTAGGAACTATACATGACATATTTGTAGTAACCAAAAAAACAGGTAGTTTTGTTGTCATACTCAAAACAAATAACACTTTTTTTAAATCCTGGTATTTGAGCTAAAATATCCTGCTGTTTTGTTTCGGTTTTAACTACTAATCTGGAAAAAATATGGGAGGTCTTTGGGTAAAATCCACAACAATCTAGTTGTACGATAAGGCAACATGTAGCTAAAAAGAAATTTCTAAATAAGAAATATATGTTTCTGTTACAAAAATTCTAAAATTCTTTAATATATGTAGTTTTTTTTTATTTAAAACTAAGCTTTTAAACTTTAGCAACATGTTGCTAATACTTAAAATGTCACCACTAAACAACATGTTGCTTTACTTATCTTACTTTATTTATCATACTCAAAACAAATAACACTTTTTTAAATCCTGGTTTCAGAGCTAAAATATCCTGCTGTTTTGTTTCGGTTTTAACTACTAATCCGGAAAAAATCCTAGTTGTACGATAAGGCAACATGTTGCTAAACAGAAATTTCTAAATAAAAAATTTATGTTTCTTTTAGAAAAATTCAAAAATTCTTTAAAATAGTTATTTTTTATTTAATAACAAGCTTTTAAACTTTAGCAACATGTTGCTAATACTACAAATGTCAACACTAAACAACATGTTGCTTAACTTATTAAGCCTTTTTTTAATATATGAAAAATATTTGTTACTTTTTCCTAGTTTTTTTTTGTTTAATTTGTTTCATTGCTCGTTATAAATCTTATTTAAAATTTAAAAGTCAGCAAATCACCATTTGTGAAAATAATTTGTGACGTTTGTTGTGGTCAATTTTTAGCCACAATGTGTGAATTATATTTATGTTGCCGTTAATTATTTAATATGATTTATTAGCCAGCAACAAAAACTTGAAGCTGCAACATTTATTATTTTGTGAATGTTGGTCTGTCTGTCCGCCTGGTTAAGCTTATAAAAGATTTTTTTTTTGATATTATGATTTAATGCGTTTTATATTACCACGTTAAAGTTTTCGCAGGTTTTTTTTTGACAAATTACTTGATTAAAGGTTAATTTGTGTTAAAGAGAAAAATTGTGATTTTTTTTGTTTGTGATTTACGTAAAACACTTTAATGTATAGATAGAGATATTAACAAACTAACAATCTATATATAAATGTTTTTGTTTTGTTTTTTTTTTTTTTATATTAAAAGCCATCATAAATTTTCATAAATCTTAAAAACTAAGGCACATGTCAAATCACAACATGGCGTATATAAAAATGTGGCCAGTGGTGGTAGTATTAACTACAAACAAATTGTTAAACTACTGGTTTTTGTTATTAAATTTGTGGCTTTTGCAGTAAATTTATAAAATTATAAAAAAAAGTAGCAGCCATTAGCGCTTAAATTCTACTACTTGAGACTTGAGGTTGTCAATAATTGTTGGGATTTTTTTATAACTACCCCCATCATAAAAGACTTTGCGTAGTATTTTTGTTTTGTTTTGCTGATTATACAACTTTTGTGCTTGGTGCAGCACTTCCTAAGACGTCATAAACTGGGTGTTTGTTTGTGTGTGTTTAGAACTTTTGCCAGTGTTTGGTCAGTTGAAAGTCATAAAAATTATGAATCAAATTTTAAAATTTCTTTTTTATTTATTTTTGAGTTTTTTTTTTTCTTCTAATACTCACGTGATTAAATGATAAGAAACAGAAATACTTAGTTTTTTTGTTCCCCAAAAAAAAGTGGCGCCTAATTTTTTTTTCATATTTTAACAATTAATATTGTAATGTTTGGTGTGTAGTTGTTTGGTTCTTTAGCGTTAATTGTGATATTTAAACTTATCTTTATTTTATCTTTTTTTTCGGTTAGATTTTGTTACCAAAAAATAATGTACAAATGAAAACAAAAAAATCTAAAATTAACAAACATAGATTAAACTGGTGTACAATCATAATTAAACACCTACTTTTTTTTGGGTGTACAATATCATGCTTTCTTTCAAGAGTTTTTTTTTAACTACTTTATTGTACATAAATACACACACACATACACTTGTTACATACCTATGTTATCTTTGATTTTTTTTAAGAAAATAAAAACAAAAATGTTATTAAAGATTATGGAACAATGCTATTATTAGAGTGTTTAAATGTACAGCATATGCCAAATGTAGTGCATCAAATAACGTCTCAGTTGGCTTATAAAATCATAAAGATAAAGATTTGTTTCCAATGTACGCAGTGCGCTTTAGTTTACCTTTTTATGATTGTTTGTTTTTTAGTTGTTTTCTAAAGTAGTAACAAAATAAATAGCTGTTAGTAGTAGTTAAATGTAACACCCTAAATAATATCAAACAAGCGCTTAGCTATCATACCAGTTATTCAAATTAAAAAAAAGCTTGCCTACTTATAGGCTAAAGTTAAAAATATGGCCTATTATTAGGCGTTTTAAAAAAAATAATTTCTAAAGTTTATATTTATATAAACAGTAGACTGTTTTTAAGTCGTTTAAAACCTACCTCAACAAACTTCCCCTAACTTCTTAAAACACCTCTTTGACCTTAAACTTTTCACTACACCAAACATTACACCATATTACAAATACCTGAAAAAACTATTAAATGGTAATAATACTACTTCTTATTTGTAATAAGTATTTGTTTAAAGAATGGTGTATTACACACATAAACTGTATATGTATTTTCTACTATTATCTTTACAATGCTCTACTAGTAAAATGCTACCTATAATGTACTATAAACAATATTATTTTTATAACATATATTTTTTTTAGACGCGACAGTAAAAACTTAGTTAAACATTAACCATCATAAAATTTCAACAACTAAACAACAAGCAAAGAAATGATAATTTTTGTGTAACTATTCCATTTAGTAGCGCATTCAGATATATATAGAGAACCGGAGACAAATGTAGGAATCATAATAATCATAATAAAAAAAAAACGACACAGTAAAGCAAATACGGCTGCCAAAGTCAATATTTATTTAAAAATTTTCAAATCTGTTTAACGAAAAATAAAAGTCGAGTTAAGTTGAGATTTTTTTTATTTCAGTTGTACAAGTTTTTTTTTTTTTGTTCAGGTAAACAGTTTATGGTCATATTTATTTTGATAAGCACGATTAGTAATTGGTGTGTAACTGTAAGAAGAAACAAAAAAAAAAAAAAAAATTATAAATATGTACAAGAAAGATACACACATTTTCAAATGCACTTTCACTGTCATTGAAGAAAAATAAAAGAATAAATTCATGTGTTTTTCTGTAAACATCCGGGAGTTGAAAGGAAAAATGTTTAAAGAAAAACCATGACAAAAACAAAAGATAAAGAAAATTTAAATTTATAAATAAATTAGATTAAAATTATGACAAATATACAATTCTTAGAATTAAGCAACATGTTGCCGCAACTTTTAGACTTGGAAAATATATTTTTTATACATTTTTATATAAAACTAGTAAACTTTTTCGCATAATTGTATGAGTTTTAACTCTGGCAACATGTTGCTGCAACACTAGTTTATATTGGCAGGGTTCAGTACATTGATCCCATTGAGCTGCAAATTGAAAAAGTTTATTTAAAAACTATAATATTTTGTTAAGTAATTAAAGAAAATTAGATATATATCGCGACAATAATAATATTTTAAGCATTAAGAAACATGTTGCCGCAACTTTTAGAATTGAAAAATATGTTTTTTAAAATCTTTTTATATATTTTTATATATAAAACTGGTAAACTTTTTCGCATAATTGTATGAGTTTTAACTCTGGCAACATGTTGCTGCAACACTAGTTTAGATTGGCAGGGTCCAATACATGGATACCTTTAAGCAGCAACACTAAATGAAGTAAAAATTAAAAAAGTTTATTTAAAAACCTTAATATTTTGTTAGTTAGTTATATTATAATATTTTGTTAAGTAATTCGAGAAAATTATGTATATATCATGACAATAACAATATTTTTAGCATTAAGCAACATGTTGCCTTCAGATTTAAACTCAGAAAATCTTTAAAATTTTGTATATAACTTATTTAAATATACTTTGCTACATATAGCCATTATTAATACTAGCAACATGTTGCTGCAACACAAAATGGTTTCAGTACATTGATCTTTTTAAGCTGCAACACTAGATGAAGTACAAATTGAAAAAGTTTATTTAAAAACCTTAATATTTTGTTAAGTAATTAAAGAAAATTAGGTATATATCGTAACAATAGGAATATTTTAAGTATCAAGCAACATGTTGCCTGTAGATTTAAACTCAGAAAATTTTAAACATGTTTTATATAATTAATTTAAATATATTTTACTACATGTAACCATTATTAATACTAGCAACATGTTGCTGCAATATGAATAACAAATTAAAAGTCATAACATTCGAATTTTTACGTATTTTTGATTTTTTCCTTAGTAACATGTTGCCTAACATAACTTTGTTTTAGCAACATGTTGCCAAACATAATATTTATAAACTTTTTATATTAATTTTTCATCTCTTCTCTTTAATTTTACAGATCAGATCACAAAAACCCTACTACACAGCAGATCCCGAAGTCGATTCACTGGTAAGTATTCATTTTAAATAAATTTACTCTATAACTATAAACAATAACACCTTGACCCACAAACAACAACAGCAACAACAACAACTTAAAAATTGCTGTAGTTAAATGTTTATTTTCTATGTTCAAACAAATTTAATTCAATTAAATTTAATAAAAAAAACTCATTTTTTCTAAACAAGAATTTAAATAAATTTGTCACAATGTTACTTTTTTTTTGCTGTGCTTATTTAAAAAAGAGAACAAACAAAAAATGTGATTGAACAGAAAAAAAAAATGTTTGTAAAAGTTAATTTTTTGTATTATTTTGAAAAATTAAATAAATAAAAAAAATGTCTACAACAAGTTCAATGTCATTTAAAAGATTTTATTTTAAACAGCTAAACCAACCAACCAGCCAGCCAAGTCAGCCCACATATGTTAGAATATTAAAGAAGCTTAATTTTTTTAAATATTTTATATATATAGTTAGATGTGTAATGTTTTTAAATTAACTAGATTTTAACAAAAAAATAGATTTTTTTATTTTTAGTTAGTTATAAAGATTTTTAAACTAATTGCTTGACAATTCTTTTTGTTGTTCTCTACAGTTGTTATTTTTTTTTTTTTTGTTTGTTATTGTTATCATTAACTTGACACTTGAATACAAATGCAAATCAAGTAATTATAATAATTTTATGGCATTTATTATGACTTGTATTTGTTTTAACTCTTTTTGTTAATTTGCTATTTTGTTGTATTTTTTGTTGTTGTTGTTAACAACAATCATTTGAAAAACATTTTAACGTTTGTTTTTCTCTATGCATATGAAAAAAAAACCCTTTTTTGTTGCAGTCCCTGTAACTAAATGTTGCTGGCTGAGTTGTTGGCAAATAATTTTACATCATAATAATAATAATAATATTTGCCAGTCACACAGTCCCAGTGAATGAGTGAGCCCGCCATTTATGGTATATATTATTAGTTTATTACCAATTTAAAGGCCAAGAACATGCATTAAATTGTAGCATGTGAATGAAGTTAAACATGTAGTAAAAAAAACCAAAACCATTGATTGTTGTTGTTTGTTGTAAGTTGTTACAAACAACTGCATACAATCATATACAATATACACACCGTTTTACTTAGAGCAGTTTGAGCTTGCGTATAACAAGTACTTTTAACTCATAAATCATTTTGTCGTCGTAAAACATCATGCATGCATGCTGCTGCTATTGCTGCCGTTGATGCTGTAGCTGTATCAGTTGTTTAGTCCAATATTGCTTGCTATTTCTGCCTTTTAATACAGTTGTGATATTGTCTGTTTTATTTGGTTTGTTTTTTTGCTCTTCTAAATTTTTATATATTTAAATGCTTAAACATTTAGTAACACATAGTTACTTAATATACAATATGTTTTTTTTTTAAATTTTTATAGATTTTTTTTATATATTTTTTGCTCATAAAAAATCAAACCAAACAAAAAAAAAAAAAAAAATAAACTTAGTGTCATATCGAGTATTTGTAAACAAATTTTTAATGACACTTCTTGACTTTTTTTTTAAATGATGCGATCGTAAAAAACAGCTATACAACAGCTCCTCAGACATATCCCTAGAGCACAAGATGAGTTTGTTTTATTACTTGTGGGTAAAGTGTGTTTTTGGCTTTCATTTGTTGCTCATTTGTTCTAAAAACTGTCTAACAGACTGGGGGGATGGACGGACCTAGTGCTGTTTAGTAGTTTGAGGTTTTTGAGGTAAAATCGTAAAAATGTCATTTAAGTAAAATCATAATATTACAATCATAAAAATTCTATACAAATAAAAGTGATATTTTAATTTACTAAACAAATGTTGTTTGTTGTTGTGTTCAAAACAAAATATTTCTCTAAAATAAATAATAAAAATTTTATTTAAAATCCGGTTTTGTAGAGTTATATTTTTTTGTTTTGGTTTTTGTTTTGATCATCATTCCTTTTTTATTAAAAAAAAAAATATAATTTGTTTTTTTTTCGTTCATATTACTTGTTTTAAACTATAGATTTAATGTTTTTTGTTGTTAACGGTTAGAGGTCAAGGTGTTTGTGTTGTATAGTAATTTAATTATTTAAAAAATACATATTTTTTAATCAATCTTTTATGTTTATCTATCATTACAGATGGTGCAAGCAATACAAGTACTTCGGTTTCACCTTTTAGAATTAGAAAAAGTAAGTATTAATCTAAATTATTAAATAAAATCTCCAGAAGTACAAGAAAAATGCCTTAAATTTAGAGAATATGTACAAAATTTAGATAGCAACATGTTGCTGAAACATGTTGTTAACAATTTAAAAACATTTCTAATTATCAACAGATATATTTTAATATATTTGTTAATTAATAGCTTTTTTTAAAATTTTTAATTAATAGCAACATGTTGCCGCAACATAAAGTTATGTTTAAATCCAACTAAATTTGAAAGAAAATGAAACAAAAAGTTATGTTTAAATCGGATTAAATTTGCAAGCCAATTAATTCAAACCACGTTGAATGAATAGACAACTTTGCAACATGTTGCTAAAACCTTTTCTTATTTTGTTTAAAATTATTTAAAATTTCTTATATTTCATTAAGAAACTCCCACATTAATAACTCTTTAATTAATTTTATAACTTCCCTATGAGATTTTTTTTGTATAATTCATATTTAAATTAATTAAACTTATTAGTGGTCAAATTTGTGGACTCCAAATGGAGGTTAACTCCCCTGGCTTAAAAACCAAACTATGTTGAAAAACACCAGCAATTTATAACATTAAAAACTACTTAAAATGTCTCTAATTTAAAAATTATAGTAGTTTTCGTTTGGTTCCCTTATTTGTATATTTTTTCAAAATTATTATAATAAAAACAAAAAACAATTAATATACAAATTAACAGAATTTTGTGCACTGAAAAACTTCACGCTTAATAAATAAAGCTCTAACTTTCTTTGTTACACAAACAACAATAGCACACTCTGAATTAGTAGTATTTTCAGACTACAACATCCCCCTTTTGTTTAAGCCATTGAGATTGTTGGAAACAAAAAGGAAATTAATTAAACAAATGTTAAGCAAAGCATGACCAAATGAAAGAACTACAATGTTAAAAAATAAAATAAACAAAAAGAAACTATTTTTGAAAATAAAAATTTTCGTTCCCAAATCTAAATAGATTTCCTTAATTTGTTTTTATTTTAACTAATTTACTTAAATAAGTAATTATGTTAATTTTTTCTTAACTATTTCAAAATTTGAATTTGAATACTTCTTAAAAAACCCACTTGCTAAGACTTACGACAACATCTCAGAATCAAGTTTCTTAATATGTAGTTTGAAAATTTTTTATATTTTTTTGTTTTTATTTTAATAATTTTACATTTTTTTGTAATTATTTCTATATTTGTTTTGTGTGTTTAATAATCTTATCTATAAAAGGAAATCAAAAACAAATTTTTAGTGTTTTTAAGATTTTTATTTAAATTAGAAAAATAAATAAATTGTTTTACAAAAAAAAAAAAACTTGATTTTGTCTAGAGATTAAAAAATTACACAAATAACATTATATATAGAAAAAATAATGAAAATATTTTAACAAACATTAGTTTAAGCTTTAAATGCCAAGAGCGAGAGTGGAAAACTTATTTAGAGCAAATTCCACATAATTTAAAAAAAATAAAGAAAAATATAAAATTTTTTAAAAAAGATCTTATAACTTTAGAGAATTGTAGTTTAATATCCATCTATGAAACACTTTTAGCAACATGTTGCTGAGATTTAAATGAAATATTGCATATGTTGCTAGAATTCTTTCACATTTGTATCTTCCGTTTGCGTTTAAAATGCATCATTTAAAAAATGAAGATCTTATAATGTAGTTCAATATCTTAGAAAAACTTTTAGCAACATGTTGCTGAGATTTAAATGAAACATTTCATATGTTGCTTGAATTCTTTCATATTTGTACCTTTCCTATGCGTTTAAATGCTTCAATTAAAAAAAGATCTTATAACTTTATAGAAATGTAGTACAATATCTAAGTATAACTTTTAGCAACATGTTGCAGACATTTAAACTAAACATTTCATATGTTGGAAGAATTCTTTCACACTTGTACCTTTCGTTTCGTTTGCGTTTAAAGTGCTTCACTTAAAAAAAAGATCTTATAACTTTATAGAAATGTAGTTCAATATCTGAGAAACACTTTTAGCAACATGTTGCTGACTTTTAAACTAAACATTTCATATGTTGCTAGAATTCTTTTACATTTGTACCTTTCATTTCGTTTGCTTTTAAAATGCATCACTTGTTTCTTTGATTTCATAATTTCTTCATTAACTGTGGCATTTTGTAAAATATTCTCCACTCTGTCATAATTTTTTCTTATTAACTTATCACGAAACAACAACTTCAAGCCACAAATTATCATTGTACGACAATTCGATTTGAGATTGTTTTTTATTGTACATACTACTACTTTTTTGGTCTCTTTGCCTTTAACGAAATAGTTAACATACCACCCAAACACTGGCTGGTAATAAAAAGGAATTTCTTTAGTTGAATTATTTTCTTCAATTCTATCAACTCCACTCCTCCTCCTTCTCATAATACTGCAACTACTACTTCTTCATCTGATCACAAGTTAAAGAATTGTTGTGTGTTGTGAGTTGTTTTTTACATACATAAATTTAACATTAAACAAAAATGTGACTGACTGGTTGGCAGTCGGTCTGTCTGTCCGTCCGTCTATCCGTCTGCTGGATTCTCTGGGTAAAAAAAGGCAACCGGCTAGTTGACCAGCCATCCAGGCAGGCAGCCAGTCAGTTAGTTTCCTTAGGAAAAAGCCAACCATTATACTGTACTGCAATAAAGTGCATTTTTATATACACAAATACTCACGTTTGTAATGTAACAGCAGACAATGACAATAACGAGTCATTCAGCCAGCCAAATAAACCAACTAACCATCCATACAACCATTCAAACAAACAAACAGCCATTCAGTCAGTCATTGAGTCAGTCAGCATTTTGCTCGCTTAACATGTCAAATTCAACACTTGACAAATTAATCAAAATTATCATTAACAATGCATCAACACACTGTTTCAAGCAACAGCAGCAGCAATGATGATGACGATGATGCTCTTGCTGCTGCTGATGATGATGGTAGTGATGGTGCTGCTGATGTTGTTGTCGTATGCAATTGTTGCTGTTGTTGTTGCAGCACATGATGATAACAATGATTCCAATGGTTATGGGCTGCTTTTACTGGCCAGACATGTTTTGAACACACACACACACGCCAAATAATAAACGGGAAAAGCAAAAAAAATAAAACGTCCTGGGCTTTTTACAAAAATAATAACAATAACAACCATAAAGAAAACATAACAATTTATAAAATGCATAACAACTGCAAACTTCCAACAAACGGCAGCAGCCCAGCAGTGAGAGAAAAAATAGCATTTAACAAACATGCTTTGAATTGTTAAAGAACTTCTTTTGATCACTCAAATAGCACTGGACTTTGTCTTTCTTTAAAAAAACAACAAATCATAAAATTAATAATTATTAAGTTTTATGAGAAAATTTTTACAAGCCTTTTGTTAGCACTTGTTTATAATGCCAGAAATTTTTCGAGTGTAAAATTATAAACTTTCTCAAGTGTGTTTACTATTGATTTAACAATTTTCTATTTTTGTAAACATTTTTTTGTTTTAAATTGTTGCTGTTAAGCAGAGTTTAAACTAAAAAGGCTAAAAAGGAAACTTTTGTTTTGGTTTTTACTTGCTGGCTTACTTTAGCCAAAACCAGTCTTATGTTGAGTTTTTTTTTCGCTTAAAACTAAACAACAGTTAAGACCTCTATTCCAACTCCTGGCCACAGCAGCAACAGCAAAAAAAAAAACGGCAACCAGGCATGTGTTTTATTGTTTTTGTTTTGGTGACAATAACATTGACCGCAAACTTTTTGGTAAGACTCTCTCGCGACAGGCTTAAATATATATAAAATTTTTTTGCTTGGCGGGATGACTGGTCAGTTAAATAAAAAATTGTGTAGAAAAAATATTTTAAACCAGTTTGACAAGTTCAAAATGATACACACACAAAATATTTAACAGTGACACAAAAACAATTTTTTTCAGCCTGCTTAAAGCCTGATAAAATAAAAAAAAAATACTGCTGTTTTTTTTTGCTGTTTTCCTTTATTCATTATCAATTGAAAGCTTAAACTTTTTCTTCTTAATGTTATATGTTTGTGGTATCAACACAACTCTCTCAACTCCCCACATTATCTTGAAAATTTTATCAAAAACATTAAATCCACAAACAAAAAAATAACTGAACACACGTATAGCACAAAAAAATACAACTCTGCATTTAAAAGTTTAAGCATAAAACTTACACGAACGCAGACAGAACACACTGTTCGCCAAAATACACAAAAACAAAAAAAAAAAAAAAACGCATTTGTGAGTGAGTGCCGGTATCTTGTGGGTACCAGCGGCTGGGAGCAGTGAGTAGTTGTATGATGTGTTTAGCCATGGTTACCATTGTTGGAATGATTCCTTTAGGCCAATATGCATATGAGTTGCAAAAATTTAAAATAAGACAAGAAACTGATGCATATTTATGCCAATTTTTATGTTACAGCCGGCCAAACAGCCAGAACCTCCAACCATTGTCAAATAACAAAAAATAACCGGCCGGCTTAATTTGCCTTAACTATATACATATATATAAAAAGGGTTTACTTTACTCTGGCCAAAACAATGCGCCATTTTTTACGCTAAAAAGAAAATAGTGAAAAAAACTACAAATTCAAAAACCATACGCAAAAACTAATTTGCATGTCTATCATGAAGTTGATGGGTTTTTAAAAAACTATAGTAACAAAAAAAAAAAATAATGTTAAACTAAATTTACATAAAATTATACTCGTGTAAAGTAAAGAATTCCAAGGAATATAAAGTTAATAAAGAGCTTTTTTTTAAGCTCAAACAAGAGTCAAGTTTTAGGCATTATAAAATTTAAAGCTGTTTTTATTTTAAGCTTACGCAAAGCAACATAATTGTTGAAATTCAAACTTTCTTGTTTTTGCCAAAATTTAAGCTTTTAGAAGCTTTTGTGCAAAGAAACCATTTTAAAATAATAAAATTTTATTTTTAAGGCATTTTTCTTTTAAATTTATAATTATAATATAAAAGCTTTTTTAATAAAAGCTTTTATATTTTAGTAGTTTAAGTTATTTTCATTAACATTTACCCTAAAACTAAAAGCTTTTAAGCAAAAATGTTTTTTCCCAAACATATAACTGGAAAAGCTTTTGGTTTTTTAAACGAAATTTCAGAAAATTTTAATTTATATTATTAATTATTTTAAGCAGCCTTTTAATTTAAAAAAATACAAATATTCTATTTAATGTTTAAAAGCAATAAATTTAACTTTGCACCATTAAAAGAACCCTACACCAACATTATAATAATATATATAAACAATTAAATTATAATGCAACTAGAAAAACTATAAGAAAAAAACTAATCAAATCCCGTTCTTTTTTTCTTCTTTTTTACTTTCCGCCCTGCACTTTTTTTGCAACAAAACAAAAAAACCAACAACAACTACTACAACTACCTACAACAAACAAAATTCGATTACGATATGAAAAAAAAAATAGGTACATGAATTATGCGATAATTTCTGTCATCGATATATATCATGTCTAAAGGGTAAAATGCCAATAGATTTAGTAATTGACGAACGGGACACCACCAAACCACCAGAATTGGGTTCAGCTAATGGTGAAGGAAGAAGTAATGCCGATTCAACATCACACACCGATGGAGCTAGTACACCAGACGTTGTGAGTACCCCCTTCGCGGGAGCACATGGTCCTATATTGGCGAGCTACAATGCGGTGGTGCACCCATGTTCGTAGTACGATAACGACCTTCTTGCAAAAACGAAGCGGGTGCTCACAATGCCCTGGGATTAAATAATTAAATAAATAATAAAAAAAAATAACAAAAAAAAAAATCTAAAAAAATTAAACAAAAAACAAGTGTAAATTACCAAAAATTTTAAAAGAAATTATAAAAATTAACTAAAGCAAAAAAGTAAGAAAAAACCATAAAACCACGTTTTAAATTTATAAAAATCTATATACAAACAAAAGAAAGAAAAGATTGCAACACGTATAGCTTTTACCACTGACCAACATTAAACAGGCCACAAAAAAGTTTTTTTTCAAGTGATTTATTACTATTGAAGCTGTGTTTGTTTGTTCGTTTGTTTGCCACAAAATATACTTACACTCGAAACAAAAAGTGCGTAAAATACAAAACTATTTTCATTTATTTGTTTTTAAGTTATATGAAAATTTGAATTGGATTTTTTTTATTTTTTATTTATTTTTGAAACAAGCGAATTTGGTTTGAAAGGATAACAAAAGTGCAAAGTTTTTAATTTATTGCAGGTTTTACTTTTTGCCAAATTGTTTTTAAGAAATAAATTAAATAAAATAACTATACGTGCTGCAATTTTTTTTTGAAATTGTTTATAAAGAGAAAAATATTTTTATAAGGTGGTTAAATTTTATGATTTTTTAAGAAACAAAAAAAAAAAACAAAAATATTTTTTCTGGTGAAATTGAAGGCAATAATTAAAAATATTTAAATATTAAATTGACAAACAAAAAGAAACAGCCATTTAATTATTAAACTTAAAATAAAAAAAAAAATATTTTTGTTTTTTATATTATATTATGATAAAAAAAAAAGAAACAATCATAATTATGTTAAAAAATCCTAAACAAACAAAACAATTGTAAAAAGTACCGCAACTTTACAAAACAAATAAGAAAAAAAAAAATTAACTTATAAACTTAAAATCAACTTCGTTTTTGCAAGAGGCCCATATAGCTCGCCAATATAGTATACTATTTATATATTTAAAACAAAATTTTTAACATTTTTATTTAGAAAAGAAAAACAAAACTAACCTAACTAATATTTGAAATATTTACAATATGATTTTTACTAACTAACCCACACTAACTTTATTTTTTTTAAAGCAGTTTTTAAAAATTTTTGATTTTTAACATTTATTTGAAATTTTAAAAAGTGGTTATAAGTTTGTTGTTTTAACAAAATTTTGTTTGAATTTTTCCTAAATTTAAAAAAAAGGAACCACCACAGGCACAACAATTTAAACCGGTGGAACAAACTTATGCCAGTTACCGCATCAAAAATGAGGCCGACTTTTAGTTGCCTTTATTTCTAACAGTTTATCAAACCCATAATTTACTTTAAAATACGTAACAAGAAAAAAAAAAAACACAAAAAACCAAGTATACGATTTTTTCTAAAAAAAACACACTCTTTAAAAACGTCCTTTTTTCAAAAGTTTTTTCTTTTTTTAAAGAGAAAAAAACTTGCCAAAACTTTTTTAATATAATTTTTTTCTTATTTTTATAATTTAAAAATAAAAAAATACACTTACACACAAAAACAACTTAAGTTCAAATAAAAAGTATACGAATATTCTTAAAAAATAATATTAAACAAAAAAAAAAAAAAAACTAATAATTTATTATAAATATTTAACAAAACAAAATAAGAAAAAAAAACAGAACGTGTAATATATTAATTAACAAACAAAAGTATTTATTAAAACTAAACGTTTTACATTTACAAAATGCAAATAATTGAAAACAAAAAGAAAATCCTTATAAAAAAAGTAGTATTTTTAACGCAAAACAAAAAAAGAAAAACTTAAACAATTTCCTTCTCAAACAAAGAAAACGATATACGTAATTAAATCTATTAATCGTTAAGATAAATAGAGACTTCCTTATTAAACTAAAACAAAAACAAAACATAAATTGTTTTTAATTTTTTAAAAAAATTAAACCAAAACTCTTTACTTACTATAACTAAATAAATACTACTACTTACTACTATTTACTACTAAAGTACTTAAAACTAAAACTAAAAACTTAAACTAAAACAAAAAAGGTTACTAAACTTTAAAACAAAACTCTATAAATATATGTAATTTAATGAAAAAAAGAAAAAAGCTTTTGATAAAGCTTTTTTGTCTAAGCTTTTTCTTTAAAACAAAAACTCTAGTTTATAGGCAAAAAACGTTAAGGTAACAAAGATAAAAAACTACAATTTTGAAAAGCTATATGGGCAGGATAACAAAAACAAAATATTTAACAAAAGTTTTAAAAGCTTTCCTTTTAAGTTGCTTAAACACTCTGCGTTTACTTTTTGGTTTAAACAAATAGTTGTTGTACTTTATAATTAAAAACCTAAAAATAATTTTAAAATTATTGTAAAACTCTTTAAAAAAATCCCTCTACCCCCCCTTTAAAGGGGGAAAAAGTGTTTTAATACTTTTCCCCTTAAACACAAAAATTATACGATAAAAGCTTTGCTTTATTTTACTTTTAATTCAAGAAAACTTATTAAATAATATTATTATTATTATGTATACAAAAACAAAAAATAATTTTAAATTAAAAAATCTTAATACTTCCTATAAATATTTTCATTATTATTTTTTTTATCATTTTAATTTGTTCATTGTTGTCTTTATGTTATTTTATATATAAATATAAAAACTTAAAAAAAATCTTAAACAAAAAAAAAAAAAAAAATTACAAAAAATCCTGAAATACGTAATATTTTATTAGGTGATATTTTATACAATTTTTATTTTTTTATTTTTATTAAATTACTTATACATATATAAATATTAAAGGTTTTTATTATTATTTCCTTTAAACTTTAGTTTTTAGCAAAATTGTAATAAAACGCAATCAAAAAAATCATTATTTCTTTTTTATAATTTAAAAAAAATCAAACCCCCCAATCCCCCCCTTACTAAAGTTATACGAAAAAACAAAAAAAAAATACATTTTTAAATGTAATAATTTTAATTAATTTGTATGTATACTAAAACAAATAAAAACAAAAATATATATATATTAAAAATACAAAAAAAAAATTAATATAATTAATATAAATTTATTATTAATCTATAAAAAAGAAATGAAAAAAACTGAAAAAAGAAAGTTAGCCAATAATTAAAATATATATATATATTAAAATAATATATTTCAAAAATAAAACAGAATTATAAAAAAGAAAAAAAATATCACAAGTTTTTGTTATTTTTTTAAATATACTATAAGTCTTAAGGCACCCAAGGATATGGATTTATATATGGATTGTCTCTGGAACGAACTTAAAAGGATTTCTTCAATGGATTGAAAATGGATGACAATAGCTGCAAGTGGATTTATGTTAATACTTAATTTTTTATTAAAAAAAATTTACCCAAAATGAAAATCTTCGCAGAAAATTAACTTTTTAAAATTTGTATAAAAATTTGTGTTTAAAAGCAAAAATATTAAAAAAAATTTGTTAAAAAAACACTATTCATGGTATAAATATGTATTCTGAAAATCAAACTATTTGAAAAAAATATGTATAAAAACATAGATTTGTATGTATAACATTTTCTGAACCCTGGAAAATTGTCTTAAATCATGCATAATATTCTAGGTTAGAATAGGTTTTATTTCTTATCTTACCTTTAAAATGCAGCAAACTTTATTATACGAACCCTGGCAGTAGCTATAATTTCCCAAATCCATGATAATTATCAGGGATGGGGGGTAATGTTTACGCAAAGTAATTCATTACACGGTCAATTACAATTACTTGTAATTACTTGTAATTGTAATTGAAGTTTTTCTAATTACAAATAATTGTGTAATTGACCAACAATCAATTACAATTACTTGTTATTATAATTAAAATCTTGCCAATTAAAATTACTTGTAATTGTAATTGAAGTTTACTATTTACAATAACATGTAATTATAAAGAACAAAATTCACAATTACAAGTAATTGTAATAGGAAATTAGTCAATTGCAATTACAAGTAATACAAAGTAATTGGCAAAACTGCAATTACAATTACAAATAATTGTAATTTGGAAAACTTCAATTACAATTAAATGTAATTGGTAAAGGTAAATCAATTACAATTACTTCAAATGTAATCAAGTAATTGTAATTTGCAAAACTTCAAATACAATTACAAATAATTGTAAATTGCTAAACTTCGATTACAAGTAATTGAAATTGGATATTATTCAATTACACTTACAAGTAATACAAAGCAATTGGCAAAACTTCAATTACAATTACAAATAATTGTAATTTGCAAAACTTCAATTACAAGTAATTGGTAAAGCTTCTTTTACAATTACTTCAAATGTAATTGTAATTAAAAATGTAATCATTACACAATAATTGGTAAAGGTAAATCAATTACAATTACTTCAAATGTAATTGGAAATGTAATCATTACAATTACATGTAATTGTAATTGGCAAAACTTCAATTACATGTAATTGGTAAAGCTTCTTTTACAATTACTTCAAATGTAATTGTAATTAAAAATGTAATCATTACACCCCAAGCCTGACATTTATTACAAAAATTTAAAAATCAAATCTAAATAGTCAGACCTTTAAAAAAATCGGTTTATTAATCTTAGGAGAGTATTTATTTAAAGAAAATGGGTACTTTGTTTGATATTTCTAATTTGTAGTGAGGAATAATTATAATACATATATTGTATATCATTGGATAGGAAAATTTATACTTTGATATCTATTAATCCCGAATAGTAATACCGTAGATATATTGTATATCATTCATTTTTTTAAATGTTAATATATTAGAAATTTCTTATAAAAATGTTGATAAATATGACATATAATCCCCATCAATATCTGGTCTTGTCGCTGTTGTGATATTTCAAATATTGATGCACCAAAAATT